GGGAGGCACTTCCCGCCGCCTCCAGCGAGCACCGCGCCGGCCGGACCGGGGAGCCGTGCCTCCCGCGCAGCCGGGGACGCGGGGCTGAGGGCTGCGCCCGGATGTCATCACTTGTTTTCGTGTCTCACCGTTCCTCTTTGCCTCCCTGTCAGCTTGTCTAGTCATTGGGGAAAAAAGTAATAGCTTTTTAACAGTCGCGTTACACAGATGCAGGTCCTGGAAGGCAAGAAACAGATTTCTAGGCGAGAGATTGTGGAGAGAGAGACCCCAGTGCAGAGGGGCAGGGCACAGGGGCCGGCAGGGCTGGCTGGAACACGGGGTAGCTGATGTTTTGCCACAAAAGAAGGGAGTTTTGGGAATAAAGGAGTCCCTGTTCCTAATATTTTTGGTTCATGAAAACAGGCCGTTCAGTCAGGTCTCTTGTCTGCACAGGGAACACAATCACGACACAAACGTCCTGCTGATGCACCTGAAGCAATACAGGAGGGCTCTGCAGGCAGAGTCATGTCCCACCAGTTTCTGCTGCCTTGGCAGTTGGCTTTTTTTAAACTGAGGAAACTAGAACTGGTTGAATTCTCTCAGTTTTACCTCATGAATCGTGCTGCAGTACAAAAGGGTGTTTGAGCTACAGCTAACCAGAAATAAACACAGTCCAAAAGCTCCAAAACAACCCTCTGCCCTTTCGTTGTGCTGCATATGTTGCTCAATGCCACAAAACCTCTTGTTGCTTCAGCTGCACAGGGTGACTTACTTGGTGAACTTCCATCCAAAACATGCAACAGTGCTGTGCCTTAAACAAGATGACCTTTTAATCTAGCTGGTTCCTAACCCTTTGCTGTACATGAGCACACAGAACCCTCACTGGGCAGTAGTTTAGCAGCTGAGGAACCTCTGATCTCTAGATCAGACACCTCTGACCTGTTGGTTAGACTGTCCCTCAGACCCAGCCCACCAGGGACACTTCTATCAACTTTGGAGCTCAAAGTCCTGATTGCAGAAGCTTGTTTGGTAATGATATATTTTGGATAAAACAATAAACCTCTCTGCTTGCCTTTTAATCCCTTGCAGTGCTGGTTGTTGTGAGAAATCACTGCTTTCCCGTCCTTAGCCCTCCCTGCAGAGACAAATGTCCGTTGCAGTGACCAGAACC